GGCACATAACAACAACAACACAACACTAAAAAGCTAGAACTCATAAAATACTATACAAAATGGGTAACCCTGGAGGACATTATGCTGAGTGAAATATCTCAGTCACAAAAAAACAAAAACTGTATAATGCCACTGTTATAAAACAGGACTGACATAAGGGGTTGGGGGAAAACTAAGAAAAGAGAGCATAAATAATGAACACTGCAGTGAAACAGATGAGGGAAAGAACTGTCTAAAAGAAATACAGGATTGGGTATTATCTGAATGACAAGAGTCCAGAATAAGAAGTGTAGCAAAGTGGACTAGGGGGCAGGGGAAAGGAAGAAACTGTGCAACAATGAAACAATCTTTTTAAAAAGAAGAGCAAATTAGGAGGGGGCAGGGAGGAAAATATGCAACAAAGAATGAATGGAAATACAAGTTTTCTGTAAACTTTTCTTAAAGTATCAATTAAAAAATTAAATTAAAAAAAATTTACAGGCTTGGAGGTCATGACAGACAGTTCTGTGTCCTACAGGGTCACTGGAAGTCAAAATTAACTTTAGAGCAATAGATTTGTTTTTGGTTAAACTGACAATAGATTACTAGATAATAGTTGTGTGTCAACCTTGTGCAGGGACAACGTTAATCTTCTCTGTACCATTCCAATTTTAGTATATGTGCTACCAAAGTGAGCACAGATTACTAGATAATACTATAGAAAGTACTTAAGAGTGAACGGTCCAGAAGTCTGCAACTTATCTTCACATTTTTCAGGGACATGTGATTGTCTCTCAACTATGACACATACTAGGTACATTTTATTATATATTTTTAAAGCATATAAAATCTAGTATATTTTTAGGGAGCTCTGATGGCCTAGTGGCAAGAAGCTGCACTGCAACCCCAGAGGTATAGGGTTCGAATCCACCAGATGCTCTGCTGGAGAAGGAGGAGCAATCTCCTCCTGTACCAGTCAGATCTGATTTGTACACATACACACACAAAAATAATAAAATAAAAAATTAAAAAAAAAAACACTAGTATATTTTAAAATCATTTACTTTCCTGGTGCTCATAAAAAACTTTAAATATAATAAGGATAAATAATTTTCACTTTTATCATCTTAAAACAAATGAAAAATGGCTTTTCAAAAATAATAAATATATCATATTGGAATAAAATCCATTTGCACATTTACCTCTATATTATATTCTGCTCCATCTGTGTTGATTCTTATTGTAACATCATCATCTCCTATATGGGCTAGAACTCTGGAGTCAGGCTCCCCTTAATAGGAAAAAACTCATTTTCATTATAAAAAATATTTGTATTGAATAATATGATAAGCATCAGTGTCAGGAAAAATCAACCAAATCTTTTAGAGAGGCCACTTTCTAAATACTGAGAGAGCTCTGCAACCAAGAACCTAAGGCTCATAAATAAACAATTCTCACCTCCCAAGAAGGAGCCTCAATGCTAATAATTTGAAATCCATCTCTTTGCCTTGACCTTTTTACAACCATTATCCATATAGCGAGTTACAGAACAAATCAAACAGACTGTACCTACTTTTAACAGTACCTATTTTTGTTTTCTTTTTATTGGTGGAAAACACAAATATAGTCCCCCACCACCACAAATTATACAGTCAAGTTTCCTACATTTGGGGAAACTACAGTAGTCAGCACATATGGAGTGCAAAAGATAAGATTCGCCAGTCCTAAAAATCACCTTCCTGATCATAGTTATCTCCCCTGCCAGGTAAGCATGTACCTATTTTTGAAGTAAGGAATAATTATGAGGAAGCAGAAAGTATGAGTTGGAATATATTGGATTTTCAACTGTACTATTTGGAGATTCTTTTTTCTATTGCAAAAGAAGTTCAAATGTAAAAACCAAAATTGCTTATTTGATATATTTTCTCAAATAAACATAAAAAGATCATAAATTATTTTATGTCTTACCTTCTCTATAAAAAAATCTCATAAAGGAAGTCTATAGCCATTGGCTGAGACAAAAACAACTTATCACTTGAAAGAAAATTAACTATAATCATTAAAATAGCCAACTAGTTTGACATGTGTGCTAAAATCCATTCCCCTTCTTTCTTTGTTCCCAAATAGTTCAACACAAATAACAGTATGTCTTAGAAACACCTTCTTTCTCACATGCTCCTCCTCTAAAAAGAAGAAATAAAACAGAAAACCAAAACACCCAAAACAAAACAAGTTAAATCTGAACATCTAACAAAAATACGTAAGAATAAACAAAATCCATACTAACCAACCACATGGCCACTGAAGAAGTCCTGCCACTTTACTGCATACTCGCTTTCTTTTTTACCATCCACTACAACTACTTTGAAATTTTGTGAAAACCGGTCAGTGCTTGACGTCAAGTACAGCTTAAAATGCCTAAAAAAAGAATATACATATATTTTATTATAAACACATAAAATCTGACCCTAATTTTCAATTAATTAAGCTTTCTTTAAAAGTCAGAGAAACTTGTAAAAATACTCTGCAAGTTATAACTACTACTTTACTAGGTATTTAGAACAAGGCATTTTTGGTAAAGACAGACTAAAATGATAGTAAAATTATTTGCTTAGTTGTAAAAACTTGGCATGTCAAGAGAAAGATTAAAGAATTTACAAATTCATCTTCCCAGAAAGCAGGCTCTGAAGGAGAAAGAAACACACACATCCAAGTATCTGAGTTGCAATGTTGCTTAACGCAGGTTTATACACATGGATCTCACCTGATGGTATGCATAGGAATCAGATCAATTACATCTGCGGAAAAAACCGCTGGAAAAGCTCAATATCAGCTGTGAAAACTAGGCCAGGAGCTGATTGTGGAACAGACCATCAACTACTCATATGTAAGTTCAAGCTGAAGCTGAGGAAAATTAAACCAAATCCACAGGAGCCAAAATATGACTTTAATTTCAACCCACCTGAATTTCTGAATCATCTCAGGAACAGGTTTGAGG